ATTGAGAGTTAATGTTTATTATAATTTAGGAAATGTACAATTGCGTTACGCTCGTACGTTTATCGTTCGATAATGTACATACGTATTAAGTAAGCACAATGCACTTTATAGTAATTATATAAAATAAAGTTATTTAATCGTGTTGTTCAGGGTCGATAGGTATTTTGCGTTACATAAAACGAACGCGTTTGTATTGAATTACTTCGGCGATACTTGATACTCGATATCATATATCATGTTATTAATGTGGATGTGATTTTCAATTAGATGATGAATGTAACGAACCGCTTCTGGACAGAGCTCAGCTAACAGCTACCACATCGTTGTCTAACAGAGGTCCAAAAAACGCTAGACTCAATGGTAAAGTTTCCTTGATTTTTATTTTTTTCTAGTATTATATACTGCACATTTTTCTTTATACTGAAGTACATTATTCAATCGAGTTTCTTTATCGTTATCCTCTCCATACTGTACGGTTTAGAAACACTTGACAATTTGTAGTTTATTGCTTGCTATCTATATATTATATTTCAAAGAATTATGCGACGATGTATACCTATTACTGAGATTGCTTTTTTTCATCTGTATTTATAATTAAGTTTAACAACAATACAGGTAGTGTATGTTATTCACATATTTTTATATTTAAGTTAAGACATAAATGTCCAGTTTGCTTGAAAAAATACAGAGTAAAGAAGTGCTCATTCTTATCAACACCCACACGGATCAATTATAAGAACTTCAGGTTTGAATTGGGTGAAATGAACTCACTGACTCATTGCATAGTTATTCTGTACATCTGATTTTCATTCAGAGCTCTGCTTTTCAGACGATTCAATAATTACGTAGTAGATGATTTATCAATGAATATATCAATAAACAAAAAAATAAATCTCATTATTCACTAGAAAAGTAATACAATTCCTTGTGTCTATTTGCTTCAGGTGGATGCTAAAGAATAACCTGGTCTTTTAAAAGACAAGATCCTTTAAAAAGCAGTGTTTTAACAAAAAAGAGAATAACAATTTGTAAAACGTTATTCAGTTAACAGATCAAAGTTGAAATATTAGGAAACATGTTTCAAAGTATTCGTTGGGCATTCAATTGGAAGGAATGGAGCCCTAGTGAAAAGGACTTTACCTATGCTATTTCTTGCATACAGTTAGAAGAGAAAGAAAGATTAAGTAGATTTGTATTTCGTAAAGATGTTAGAGCTTCTCTTGTAGGTAGATTAATGATGAGAAAGTTTGTTAATGACTATGGACATGTACCGTATTCTAGTATACTATTTGCGAGAGATACAAATAATAAGCCCATTTTAAAAAATATTTCCTTAAACTTATCGTTTAATGTATCTCATCAGGGTAATTATACAGTCTTAGCGGGTGAAATGAAAAATATAAATTTAGGTGTTGATGTAATGAAACTTGAGTATACTGGTGGTAAACAATTGTCTGAATTTTTCCGTATAATGAATCGAAATTTTTCGCCCTCGGAATGGGAAGAGATAAAGATATTTCCTAATGAGTTTGATCAAATCAGTATGTTCTGTAGGCATTGGGCATTGAAAGAAAGCTATGTGAAAGCTATAGGTAGAGGTATTACCATTGATCTTGAATCAATATCTTTTAAAACTAATTCAAAACTTGTGGAAAATTCTATCACAACTGATACAGCTTTATATATAAATGATGTAAAACAAAATTGGTTGTTTGAAGAAACATTGTTGAATTCACAACACTGTGTTGCTGTAGCATTACAAGAAAATGGTGAAATGCCAAACTCACAAAAAAAAACATTTGAAATTATAGATAGTACTACACTCTTAGCAAATGCTATCCCATTATTTCCACAAGATTCCGAATTTACACGGGAATATTTCAAAAAAGAGGAACATCCATAACTTTAGATTTTATATTAGCTTATTATATATAATATCATTATATTAATTTTTTTATAAATAATACATTTATATATTTGTAATAAAGATGGACAGATAACATTTGCATTTAGTTAGTGAGTTTAATAAAAATAGTTGGAAATACGTGTTCAAAATTTATTTCACCTTCTTATAGAATTCATAGTTTTATATGTATAATTAAACATTCATACAACGTATAAGATCATGTATTATTAGTTTAAATATAAAAAATTTTAAAAATTCAAGATTTTTGAAAGAAGAACACAATTGTTATAATTATACATTTCAATTTATTTTAATTACAACAACAAGTATGATAAACAATTTTAAATTTATTTATTTTACGTGCATACGATACACCAACCTGTTACTCTTATATATTTCCTTTCTTTTGCTTGGAAAAGGGAGTTTTCCACAAATAACATATAACATCATACCTTCAACTTGTATACATTTCTTTCAAAAAATATTACTTTCAACTATTTAATAGACTTTCAGAAATGCCATTTAAATAAGTTAGCATCAATAAAAATGGTTGATTGTTACTTTAATTATGTTATAATTATCTTAAGTTACAACTTATAATGATTATTATAGTAGTACTTAATTCTGTGATAGCCCTACTTTGTTAAGTATGATTGCTTCCTTAAGTGTTGCATGCATGCGTATATGTTGTGGCGTAGGCGGAAGCGCATGGACGGCTAGCAGTTCAGACTTTGGTCAGTACCTTATAATCGACCTGGGTCAAGTAATGAACATCACAGCTGTGGCGACCCAGGGACGAGCAGTACAAAATGAGTATGTTATGGAATATGTTATCAATTATGGTACAAATGGGCTGGACTACGTTGATTACAAAGAAGAAGATGGTAACGTTAAGGTAAACTCTTATACAATTTTTGACTCAGTGTCTGTGCTAATACAGCCATAATCCATGAGCGGATTTGTTGAAAGAGGTATAATTGCATTTACTAATATAAACTAACAACTAACAAAAATTCGTTGCGCTATGACAATGCAAAAGGCTGGGGTTTTGAAATTTACTATCACGTTAAGTATGTTTAGCATGAATGAATGAGTTTTCATAATGTATCATATATCATAAATTTTTAGTTAGGTAGGTACTATTTGCATGTTTACTGCAATACTGCTAGATTGCTTATGTATTTGTATAAATGAATACACATCAACCAAGACTTTCTTATATATTTCATATTCAATTTCCAAATTATTTAAATACAAATGAAATATAAATATGTTAGAATATAAAATATTCTTTACAGTTCACTTATAAAACATAAAAACAAATGATAAGTATCATGTTACCATTATCCTACGACTCATAACATATTCTTTCTCCTACTTAACTGCTTTGCTTCTACTCTTTCTTTTACACATGGACATGGGGCTGGGCTTTGCAGGAGGTTCTACATGGTCACCACAGCTTAGCAGTTATGATCAACATCTTACTGTGGAACTGACGGACAGATATGAAATACGCAGCATAGCTACACGAGGTCGTGCTCATACTAATGAATATGTGACAGAGTATATTGTCCAATACTCTGATGATGGGCAAGCCTGGGCCAGTTATGAAAGTCAAGATGGTGTAGATGAGGTATTAATAGAGATATTGATTATAAAAAAAAAAAAAACATAGAACTTTTCTGTCCAAAATATCATTTGTATGTTCAATGATATTGTACATATGTAATATATTTTACATGCTGTACATATCAACATATTTTTATCTTTTTAAATAAAAGAATAACTTTATTATTTCTAAAATTATATATTTTTAATGAGATACACATAGCAGAAGTGCTTTTATTTTGGTGGAGGAACTATAATTGAGTTCAACTCAAGAGTTTCTACTCTTTGTTCAACTTAAATTTTTTAAAAACTATACATACATATATAATTACTTTAATAATTTACTCCTTTCATATAACACTTTAATAGAATGTTAAACATTTGCTTTCATGCTTATGCACTTACAAATAATGCTACACTAACATAACTATATAAAAGCATGCTAAATAACCTACCAACTTATATTTAATTTATTTGTGCATCAAAATTTTAGATGTCAATGTTGTACTTAAAACAAACATATATAACTAACAGACTATTTAAATGTTGACAAAAAATTAAAACTTTTTACACGGCATTATGAAAAAGAAATATTTGTTCTTGTTTTTGAAATGATTGCAATTTTAACAAAGATTGTATTTAATTAGTTGAATAAGAACATTCATCTTTTTTTTTTATAGATGTTTAAAGGTAATATAGATGGTGATACTATAAAACTTAATAAATTCGAAGTACCAATTATTGCACAATGGATAAGAATAAATCCAACCCGATGGCGAGATAGAATATCATTAAGACTAGAATTATATGGATGTGGTTACGGTAAGTACTTTTAAATAAAAGTTGTAATTTCTATCTAGGAAATTGTAAGCATTCTATAAAGATTAATTTTCGAAACTAATTAATTTTTTCTTTTATAGTGTCCGATGTTCTTTCCTTCAATAGTTCATCTCTTTTACGGTATGATTTATTACGGGAACCAATTGAAACTGATAGACATTTTATACGTTTTCGATTTAAAACCAATAATGCCGATGGTGTTTTAATGTATTCTCGCGGAACACAAGGGGATTACATAGCTTTACAATTAAAAGACAATAGAATGATATTAAATATAGACTTAGGATCTGGTATCATGACCAGTTTATCTGTCGGTAGCCTTTTGGATGACAATATGTGGCATGATGTTCTAATATCGCGTAACAGGAAAAATATTTCATTCTCTGTAGATAGAGTATTAATTAAGGGAAGAATAAAAGGAGAGTTTCATAGACTGGATTTAAATAGAGCAGTAAGTAACTAAATAATGTTCTTTATTACATTTTAATTTATTATTGTTGAATCTACATATAATTTAAAAACCTTAATCAGCTTTACATAGGTGGTGTACCTAACAAACAAGACGGATTGGTAGTCAATCAGAATTTTACAGGATGTATAGAAAATTTTTACTTAAATGCAACTAGCATTATTCACGATTTAAAAGAAACGGAAATTACCGGCGAAAATCTGAGATATTACAAAGTGAATACGCTTTATAGCTGTCCAGAACCACCTATAATTCCTGTCACATTTTTAACTCATGGCTCATATGCCAGACTTAAAGGATACGAAGGAATATCTTCTTTGAACGCTTCTCTCACTTTCAGAACGTACGAAGATAAAGGAATTATTTTGTATCATCAATTCACTTCACCTGGTTATGTAAAGGTTTGTAGACGGGTTTATTTAAAGGTTTATTTTTAGAAGAATAAGAATAAAGAAGTAAGAGAATGAAGAATAATGTTTTATATCCTATGTGTTTGTAGCTATTTTTGGAAGATGGTAAATTGAAAGTTGACATTCAAACTAAAGGAAGCCCTCAAGTAACTTTAGACAATTTCGATGAAAAGTTCAACGATGGCAAATGGCACCAAGTTATATTAACGATTTCGAAGAACAGCCTTGTCTTAAACGTCGACGGAACACCAATGAGGACCAGACGTATATTAAATATGATCACAGGACCTATTTATATGATTGGTGGCGTGAAGGGCAGAGAGAGCAACCGTGGTTTCGTTGGTTGTATGCGAATGATTAGTATCGACGGCAATTATAAGTTACCAACCGACTGGAAAGAAGAAGAATACTGTTGCAAGGATGAAATTGTATTCGATGCATGTCAGATGATGGATCGTTGCAATCCAAATCCATGCAAACATTCTGGCGTGTGTCGTCAAAATTCTGATGAATTCTTCTGTGATTGTGCCAACACAGGATATACAGGAGCAGTTTGTCACACTTCTTTAAATCCCCTTTCGTGCGAGGCGTATAAAAACATAAACTCGGTTAATCAACGAGCTGATATCAAAATAGATGTCGATGGAAGCGGTCCTTTGAAACCATTCCCAGTAGTCTGCGAATTCTATACGGATGGGCGCGTGAAAACGATTTTGCGACATAACAACGAACGCATAACACCTGTGGACGGTTTCCAAGAACCGGGTAGCTTTGTACAGGATATTATTTACGATGCGGACATGGACCAAATCGAAGCTCTTCTTAATCGATCCACGAATTGTAGGCAGAGGATTAGTTACGAATGTAGACTTTCCAAATTGTTCAATTCTCCAGGTAATTATCTATTAATAAAGATTGTATATTTTGTATTTGAATAACGTTTATGTAATTTTAGTACCGCAAGGAGATTATTTTAGACCAAACTCGTGGTGGGTCAGTAGAAACAATCAGAAAATGGACTATTGGGGAGGAGCATTGCCGGGTTCACGTAAATGTGAATGTGGTATACTTGGAAATTGTGCGGATCCTACCAAATGGTGCAATTGTGACGCCGATTTGGACACTCTCTTAGAAGACAGTGGTGATATTACTGAGAAAGAGCATCTTCCAGTTAAACAGTTACGATTTGGTGATACTGGTACACCAGTAGACGATAAAATAGGTCGTTATACTCTTGGACCACTTATTTGCGAAGGAGATGGTAAGTTTACAGCATTTCTCTCACATTATGCATGTAAGCCAGGATATTTAATTTATTTTAAATTGTTTATAAGGTTCTGATTTACCTTGGTTGACCACCAAGGTAAGGTCAGGTAAGATCAGATGCTATTTTACGTAGCTGTAAAATAAATTTGCAAACAACGTAAATGTGTATTGTATCTCTATAAACACAATAGATACTGTAACACAATAGTAATTAGCATTTTAACCATTGATTCATATCCACATTTGTATTAATGCTCAAATAGCCTTTCCTTTGTAGCCTTTCCTCCATTTATTTACACTTGATTGATAAAGTACTGAACAAAGATATTGATAATTTTTCAACATAGAAAACTATCATATACTGAATAAATAACAATATATCTTATTCTACTTCATAAGGTATTGTAAATAAAACATTTCGTTTTATTGTAGATTTATTCAAGAACGTAGTAACATTCCGCATTGTTGATGCTACCATCAACCTACCAACCTTTGATATCGGTCACAGCGGTGATATCTATTTCGAGTTTAAAACGACTATTGAGAACGCTGTTATAATTCACAGCAAGGGACCTACGGATTATATAAAGATTTCTATAAATGGTGGAAATCAGATTCAATTCCAGTATTTAGCAGGTGGTGGCCCACTAACGGTTAGTGTACAAACCTCGTACAAATTAGCTGATAATCGATGGCATTCCGTATCGGTTGAAAGAAATCGTAAGGAAGCTAGAATCGTAGTTGACGGAGCATTAAAGAACGAAGTAAGGGAACCTCCAGGACCAGTGCGAGCGCTTCATCTCACATCAGACTTTGTGGTTGGTGCTACAACAGATTACAGAGATGGTTATGTTGGTTGTATCAGAGCTCTCCTTTTGAATGGTCAACTGCAAGATCTGAGAAGTTATGCTCGTCAAAATTTGTATGGAATTTCCGAAGGTTGCATGGGTAAATGTGAGAGCAATCCTTGCCTTAATAATGGCACTTGCCACGAAAGATACGACGGATATTCTTGCGACTGTCGATGGACTGCGTTCAAAGGTCCAATTTGTGCAGATGGTGTGTTTCCTTTCTTAATAAAAATTAATGGCAATTATTCCATGATAAACTGCTCGTTAAGTTTTAACGTTAAAATTCATTTGATTGCAGAAATTGGTGTAAATATGCGTCCAAGTTCAATGATAAAGTACGACTTCATGGGTTCATGGCGTTCGACGATCTCCGAAAAAATTAGAGTTGGTTTCACAACGACGAATCCTAAAGGATTTCTGCTCGGCCTGTTTTCGAACATCTCTGGAGAATATATGACGATCATGGTATCGAATAGCGGTCATTTGCGCGTCGTTTTCGATTTTGGTTTCGAACGACAAGAAGTTATTTTCCCTAACAAGCACTTCGGTTTGGGACAATACCATGATGTTAGAGTAGGCAGAAAGGATTCAGGAGCAACACTTATCTTACAAGTCGATAATTACGAGCCGAAAGAATTCCCCTTCAACATTAAAACCTCAGCTGATGCACAATTTAATAACATACAATATATGTATATTGGAAGAAACGAGTCTATGACGGAAGGCTTTGCTGGTTGCATATCTAGAGTAGAATTCGACGATATTTATCCTTTAAAGTTATTATTCCAAGAGGATGGACCTGGAAATGTTCGTTCTTTAGGCACTCCTCTCACGGAAGATTTCTGTGGTGTGGAACCAATCACTCATCCACCTGATGTTGTAGAAACTCGTCCACCACCGCAAGTAGACGAAGAAAAAGTTCGAGCTGCTTACAACGAAACTGATACCGCGATTTTAGGAAGCGTGTTGGCTGTCATTATTATAGCGTTAATTATAATGATGGTACTTATAGGACGATATATGTCGAGACATAAAGGGGAATATTTAACCCAGGAGGATAAAGGTGCTGAAATAGCACTAGACCCAGACTCAGCGGTGGTTCATTCTACCACTGGCCATCAAGTTCAAAAGAAGAAAGAATGGTTTATTTAAGTACGAATTTAGATATTTCGCTATGTCAACGCTAGAATATATATAGGTAAAATTATGCTTATAAGTGCACTTTGAAGTGTCATAAAAAAAGAAATAAAAGATTTTATAGGAAGGATAAAAAGAAACATAATTCTACTATTGCTGTATAAAATGGAGACTGGTAAACTTAACTGAACAAATTTATTGAATCTCTCAAAACGAAAATACCAGACTGGTAAAAATCATTGTAACTTTTCTTAAATGATAATTGAATATTAAATGTCTTCATTTTGTTCATTTTAATACAAAACATTGTTGCGAAAATAATATAAAAGATATAATGTATGATTGTAAGTTCAAATATTACGTTAAAGAGATGTAAGCATATAGAAATATTTTATTTTTATTTTTTAAAACAAAAATTCTCATTATATTTGTATTAGGTGTATCTTCGACATTTCTTTTTAATACTTAGTAATGTGAATCGTATTGCTAGTAATAAGGGATAGTAAAACTGCAGACTGTTATTACTTTAGACTATGAGGTGCATAAATATTTATTATGTACAATGAAATTTAGATTGAACATCACGGCAGAATATTACTATGTATGTGTGTGTGTGTGTATATATATAAATATATACTCATATACACACACACACTTGTTTACATTCTATTATATTAGAAACAAGAACAATTACTTGTTTCTTTCTTTCTCTGTGTTATATTGAGGTTTACTTATTAGTATTAATTGTAAAATCACTAACAATCAATTAATTTTGAATCACATTCGTATAAGGTTTATTGGCTATGCTATTTTTCTGTCAATAACAAAAATTATTTTGTACATATATAAAATATTTCTAAATCTCCAAAAACATTTCGTTACGTGTAAAATACTTCTTCCTCTTTTTTTTTCACAAAAAATGTGTTCTCAGTATTATTTGTAATGCTTACCGTCCAAAGTGCATTTTAATTTTTCTTTATATTTATTTTGTTTACATTTGTTTATTATGTATTACAGATATTTTATTTCTTTTATGAACTGTAATAATCCGAATTCTGTACTGTAACTTAACATTAATCTAGTATCAACTAATATTCGTATACTATACGTGTAACAGTGAGAGTGTGCTGTATATATATCATTTTTATACGAAGAAAATGTTTTAATGTAATAATACGCCAGTGTATATTTTATATACTGTATTCAGCAGAACGCATGTGCTGCTAAATAAAGACAAAAAGTCGTGATTATGATTTTGTAACAATAAGTCCTTGAAATAAAACTAGTTAGTTGAAGCACGTAGTTTGTAACAAAAATTTTGTAGTTGCCATGAACATGTAAACTTAATTTTACATTTCCACGTATAAATTACGGAAAGTTTAAAGCAATAACTAAAAAAAACGTTAAATTTTACTTTCTTAAATATAAGATGTTTTAATTTTGTTAATGGAATATAACAATTAATTATATTTGTTTATATTTATAAATATAATTATATTTATAAATATAAATTACATTTATAATTGTTAAAATATAACAATTAACGAAAACACATTGTATATAGTATACAGAATTACATTTTTTACCTGGAATTATAAAAAAATATGTATGTAAATGAAGAAAAAGGAAATATACGATAGTTATAAAAATTATAATCAAAAAACATGAAACAATAACAATACATCAACGAACGAATTAATTCATTGCTATTTACAATGGAAATAACATGCTTACAAATTTGTAATTCAAACAAAATTTTTATGTTTGAAATACAGTTCTTTGTAAATTTTTTTACACTAAATTAATAATAATATGTAATTTATTATAAATATTGTTATTTATTATAAAAAGAACTTTTGTCCAAGAAATCCAAGAAGTGAAATTTGCAAATATTTTTTATTTATTTAGTATAAAACTATTATCTATCAATTCTTTTCATTATAAGTTGCATGCGTGTTTAACCCTCCGTTGACCAATGCTTCTAACGATCGAGATAGACTCAGGCACGGTTAACAGAGGATTAAAAGTAGAACTATAATATAAATATGTAGAATCATACGTATATAATATAAATATATACTACCATACGTATATTGAGATACGTATCCTAAATTTATGTTTAAAATAAAAAATTTTTGTAACGTCAATTTTTGTACATATATGGGTAAAATAGTTTCGTTTATTCAAATTAATCAGTGCAGGATGTAGTGCTACCACTCATACTAGCCTCGCTTGCTGTTTGTTGTTTTGTTATTGTTATGTCATCAATTAGACATTCGGTTTCTATTAAAAACGGTAAATTTTAAATAAGTTATAATAGTAATCTGAAGTTATAATACAAAAATTCACTGCTCATTACCTGATTCATTATCACTGACTGCTTGAGGTGAAAGTTTACAACCTTTGGTTAAGTAATGTTTTAATTTACCAACACTGGCCAGAATTAATCCTAAGAATGGAGGTGAAGGATTTAATGGTCTAGATAGATATTCCGGATGAAATTGCGTAGCAATATAGTAACTATGCCCTTCCAATTCTGCTATTTCCATACGTAAATTTTCTTCGTCATGACCTAATATAAAAATAAGATAATATATACTAATTTAATAAACATTAATATTTTTTAAAACTTTTGACTAAAAAATGAATATTAATTTACCTACGAATTTTAAACCAGCTGCCTCTAAATCGTCAATGTACTTGGGATTAATTTCATACCTATGCCTATGTCTTTCTTCTATACAATCCTTATTACCATACAATTGTTCTACATATAAAATAATAATTTAAAATATTTATAAAATACTATAAATATATTAGATTATAATAAAAATTTTTGAAGCAATTTCTTACTAACTTATAAGAGAATTATTTTCTGTAAATCGAGTATATCTTTTTCCAAGCCTCATGGTTCCACCCATTTGTTTTGGATTATATTCAGGCATATCTATAACGAGGGGATGATCAGTTTCTGGATCAATCTCCATACTATTTGCATCCTCTATGCCTAAAACATTTCTTGCGAATTCAACCACTGCCACTTGTAAGCCCAAACAAATACCAAGGAAAGGTTTATCGTTTGTTCTACACCATTTACACGCTTCCATTTTCCCTAGCATACCTCTTTTACCAAATCCACCTGGTACTACAACACCGCTAAATATAACGCAAATAAGATAATTAAATTAAAAAAAAACAGTCATAAAATAATAATAAAAACAAAAATAACTTACTTGCTTTTACAAAGTTGTTGCCAAGCTTCATGATATAATACAGGATCTATTGTTTTCGTATTTTGTTCTAAATTATCGGCCTCTATATACTAAAATTATATTTATACAAATATAATAGCAATCATTGCAATAATATGATTAATAAAAAACAAATACTTTACTGTTAATTTAAGTTTGTAGCCAACTTGAATACAAGCATGTTGTAATGCTTTTGTAACTGATGCATAGGAATCTTCTAATTTTGTATATTTTCCGACTAATGCAATATTTACTTCTTTTCGTAAATGATCAATGCGATCTGCCAAATCCCTCCATTTTCGCATGAAATATCGGGGACGTGGCATTCCAATATTTAATTGTAATCTTTCATTTAGAAACTCAATAACACCTTGAGATTCCATTAATAAAGGAACGCGATATATGGACGACAAATCGTGTATAGTTATCACCTAATACATAAAAATTTTTATTAGTCTTTCAACCAATTTTATCCAAATTTTATTGAAAAGACTAAAAATTATCACCTGTTCAGGCGCAACATGACAAAAATTCGAAATTTTTTCTTTCACGGAATCACCTATTGGTTGTTCAGATCTGCAAACTATAAGATCAGGAGACAGACCTAAACCACGCAATTCCCTTACACTGGATTGAGTTGGTTTTGTTTTTGGTTCTCCTGTAGATTTTGGCTGAAATAAAAGAACAAAATTTATTAAAATAAAAAATCTGTTTAAAAAAGAAATATTTTTGTTCTTTTTATAGATATTTTTAAATGATCTTTAAAACTCATTTAAATATATATAAGTACATAAATTTAAATCTCATTTAAATATATATAAACATTATTGTAAATTGTGCGAATAAAAGTTACATAATTCTAAGGGTTAAGAATAAACTACCAAACATATGCTTGGTACTTGGCATGAGTTCAAAGTCAAGGTCTAGGACAATAAAAAAGAATTATTTAGACAGAAACAGATTCATACTTGAGGCACTAAAGATACATGTGCACAACAGAAGTTTTCTTTTTTTACTCTAAATTGAAATTGCCTGAAAGCTTCTACAAATGGCATTCCTTCAATGTCTCCTATGGTTCCACCTAATTCAACAATGCAAACCTGCAATAAAATGTAAATCAATTCTGCATTATTTAAAAATTTTTTTTGTAGTTTTATTATTATTATATGACATGAAATTACATCTGGTTTATCACCATCCTTTGTCACTGATTGTTTTGCAACTCTTTCAACCCATTCCTGAATAGCATCTGTTATGTGTGGTATCACTGTAGAATAATAAATAAATATTTATTAATATAAATTAAGTTTATTAATATTTATTAATATGAATTAATATATTAACTTCCTATGTCAAAATAAATATATTCATTATACCTTGAACTGTTTTTCCTAAGTAATCACCACGTCGTTCTTTTGATATTACATGTTGATAAATTTTTCCTGTTGTAATATTATTATCTCTATGTAAAGTGATATCTAAAAAACGTTCATAGTTTCCTAAATCAAGATCTACTTCTCCACCATCATCCAATACATATACCTCCCCTGAAATGTAAAGACATAAAAACTTTATTTTTTGAAAAACAATAATAAACTTAAAAATAAATATCAATAATAAATTTTAATAATAAAATGAGAAAAAAACGGTTGTTTAACTAGAAAATATAGACGTAAGCTCTAATTGAACATAATTTTCACACAAAAGAATAAAAAGATTAAATTTTACATTTTTATTAAATTTTTCGTTAAACAAATACAGTCGTAACTAGTTTAAGATCTAATCATCATAATTTATTAATGATTTTATTCAAAGAAATCTGAAGCAGCATTCATAAATAATAAGAGTAAATATCATTTCAGAGCTGAAAATGCTGTCAAAAATATCGCACGTGATCATAAAATTGGCGGCAGCAACGGATAAAATGGCTTCTGACACCACATGGCTATGCGGAAATTTTACGTTTTCATAGAAATGTTTTCGAACATGTCATTTTAATTTAATGAAATAATTTTGAAAAGTAGACGTTTAATAGCATACCATGTTCGTAGGGAGAAAAAGTGCCAGCATCAATATTTATGTAAGGATCTATCTTAATAGACGTCACATGAATACCGCAATGTTTAAGTATAGTTCCAAATGAACTTGCAATAACACCTTTGCCGACTCCACTAATTACACCACCCGTTACTAAAATATATTTCATATTTTATAAGCAATCTATTTCTCAAGGAACGTCTGTACTGATTTTTCTATAGACGTCTCTTATTCAAAGTTCCTCAATTTTATTGAGTGATATTTGGGTCCAATGAGAACACACAGCCTCCTCTTACATGTTCGCGGATACTAATTGTGATCAAAATTTTCGCCACTTATATTACCTAAAAAATGAAAGCGTTATGGCGGGATTTTTAAATATGTAATGTCAAATGTCTTCTAAAATTACTACAAAAAGTTAGACAGTTGTATTATTTAACTCTTTATAGTAGTTTAAAAAGTTTCTGAAGAAGTAATTGAATTATATTAAATAAGTATATTTCATTATATATTATTTCATTTATTGTTAATTAAAGTTAAATGTCAATTTGTATTAACTGAACAAATGTCATTGATAAATTGATAAAAAAATATATTGCAAAAGGAATTAATGTATCATTTTGATGAAGTAAAAAGTTGTTAAATCATATTAAAGTATTAGTAAATTAATATAATTTCATATTATAAGTCAAATAATTGATTTTCTTTATGAAAAAAAAAACTTTATTCTGGGGAATCAACTATACTTACGTGACCATCTAGTAACATTTAGTTAATGGTGAAATCGATTTCCGTGTAAGCAAAGAGCGCTATTTCTTGTTGTCTTTTCTCGTAACTGAAAATATGGCTGAGGTATGTGTCACAAAATATCCAATAAAATCTCATTCATATACTATAAAAAAATATACGGAAATGCTTTAAAATAAGATATGAATTTCTTTTTTAATAGGCAGATATAATATTAATACATAAGAATGAATATTTTCGATTTGTAATCTAACCTTTTTAAATGTGTGATGTATGATTTTCAGGCAGAGGAAACTCAAAAGAAAAAGAGAACTTTCCGCAAGTTCACCTTTCGAGGAGTTGATCTTGATCAACTCCTTGATATGCCAAAGTAAGTTTTTTTTATGTTTTTTTATGTTTTAAAAAATACTAAGTATTTTTAGGTTATGGTAATCAATTAAAGGCAAACATTCAGTTACCATGAATATTATATATTAGCTGTTATTTTATTGTTCTAGTGAACAACTTATGGTTTTGATGCATGCTCGAGCTCGTAGGCGATTCTCTCATGGTCTGAAAAGAAAATCTATGGCTTTAGTAAAGAAATTACGTAAGGCAAAGAAGGAAACTCCACCAAATGAAAAGCCAGAGATTGTCAAAACTCATTTGCGCAACATGATTATAGTGCCAGAAATGGTAGGGTCAATTGTTGGTGTTTATAATGGTAAAACATTTAATCAAGTCGAGATTAAGCCGGAAATGATTGGTCATTACTTGGGAGAGTTTTCTGTTACTTATAAACCTGTGAAGCATGGTAGACCTGGTATTGGTGCTACCCACTCTTCAAGATTTATTCCTCTAAAATAATTTATACCTTCCATGTGAATAAAATATACAAAAACTAAAATGATCCTTTTTTTCTGCAATACCTTTCAAATACCTTCGTAATGTATCACAAAAGATTACTATTGCGTGTAAGGAATTGAATAATTACATAATTATGAATTGGAATTGAATAATTTTCAGTAAATAACGTGGAAATATAAATTTCAGTAAATAAGTTGCAAGAATATATACTTGTTTTAAATTCTGGATTAATGTTGTTAATAATCAATTTTTAGGTTCTATTTTTTGTCGAAATATTAAATAAAGCTCATATTAAAATTTAGTAATAAGAATGTTACAAGGTCGGAGTTTACCAAAGTTCTTTAAATTACTTGTCATTTGTAACAATATGTCATTATTATGTTATCGTCCACGTATGGTTCACGCGGATCCTTGCCGGTTGTTTTAATGCAAAGTAAAATTCATTATCATTTCAAACATGGCAAAACAATTGACTGAACAAATATTGGATTATTTAAACAAGCACGGGGAAGTAAATTCGCTTCATTTATCTGAAGTTCTTAAAGAAAATCATCAAAAAATTATCGGGGCCATTAAGAGTCTCGAAACGCTTGATGATGTAAGTTAATTACTCAAAATGTTCATAATTATTCATCGTAATAGTATTGGCAAATTTTAACAAAAAATAATTTTTAATGCTAAATCATGTTTCAGTATCTTTTTTATATTAGAATTTAAATAAATATATCAATACAAATTTGTTTCATTATAACCTTAAAATTTCTATCATCATGCATTAAATTTTTATTCTATAAAATTGATTTATTAGTAATGCTATAATTTATGTTCTAGTTGATTACTACTAAACAGATTACTGATAAAAAGTGGGAATTAACATCAGAAGGTCAGCATGTGGTGAGTTATGGAAGTCACGAAGCAGCTGTTTATAATGCAGTTCCTGATGATGGAATGCCACAATCTGAAATTATGCAGTCAGTTCCCTTTACAAAAGTTGGATTTTCTAAAGCATTACAGGCTGGTTGGATAGTAATTGATAAAAGTAGTGGTACGCCTATTGTAAAAAAGAAAGTGTCTTCTATTACAGACATTATACAAAAGGATTTAAAAGATCTTGCTAGTCTAACTGACCGCCTTAAAAATGAATATAAGAAAAGAAAATTAATTCAAGAAATGTATGTTTTTGTTAATATTATTTAGTAGGAAATGTATATAAATGTTGAGAGATTTGTATATGAACAATTTTCTTCTTAACAGAGTTATTAAATTTGTACAGTTGGAAAAGGGTCCTAATTTTACAACAACAATTGAAAAACAGGAAACAGAATTGACTGCTGATTTATTAGCAAATGGTTCATGGAAGGATAAGAAATTTAAACCTTATAATTTTGATGCTCTTGGTGCTACAATTGAAGTGGGTCATTTGCATCCACTTTTAAAAGTTAGAAGCGAATTTAGAAAAATTTTTCTTGAAATGGGGTATACAGAAGAGAAAATGAAGTTTTAGATTTACAATAGTTAACAGTTTTCTTCATATTTTTTTATTATTCCCATAGATTCACTGAGATGCCAACAAATAATTTTGTGGAAAGTTCTTTTTGGAATTTTGATGCGTTATTTCAACCACAACAGCATCCAGCAAGAGATGCACATGATACTTTTTTCATAGCTGGTACCTTTATCAATAATTTTTTTAACTAATTAAATTATATATATTCAATTAATTGATGCATTCAAAATTTTTATTTTAGAACCGTCTCATAGCACAAATTTTCCTCTGGAGTATATGGAAAAGGTAAAGAAAGTTCATAGTGAAGGAGGCTATGGATCTTTAGGCTATCGTTATGATTGGAAAATCGAAGAAGCACAAAAGAACGTTCTTCGCACTCATACGACTGCTGTTAGTGCACGAATGCTTTACAATCTTATGCAACAGGTAATTGATGACTCGATATCAATATCAATTTAAGAGCTACAAAATATTCATATGTAAATTTCAGGATAAGTTTAAGCCAGTAAAGTATTTCAGTATTGATCGAGTATTTCGAAATGAAACTTTGGATGCCACGCATTTAGCCGAATTTCACCAAATTGAAGGTGTAGTCGCTGATTACAATCTCACGTTAGGTGATTTAATAGGAATTTTGTATGAATTTTTTAAGAAACTTGGTATTACACAGCTTAAGTTCAAACCTGCATATAATCCGTACACTGAACCGAGTATGGAAATCTTTTGTTATCACGAGGGTTTAAAAAAATGGATAGAAATTGGTAATAGCGGAATGTTTCGACCAGAAATGTTATTACCAATGGGATTACCTGAGGATGTAAATGTCATTGCTTGGGGATTATCTTTAGAAAGGTTATGAAAAAATAAATAATTTGTGTCATTCAGATATTTTAAATTCAATGTTTTTAACTTTTGAAAATTTATTTTTTAGGCCAACTATGATTAAATATGGATTAAACAATATACGAGATTTGGTTGGACCAAAAGTTGATTTGGAAATGGTTTATAACAATCCTATTTGTCGCTTAAACAAGTAAATATTTATCTAATCATATAAAGATTTTTATGTAAGTAATTACAATATTGAAGTTAAAATGCATATGACTTCTATCGTAAAACTTCTGTTATGAATCCTCTTCTAAAATAATTGAATATGGAGAAACTTTTATAGTTATTTATCAATATTTTCATTTAATGTACAAAAATTTATTTATTAAATAAGACAAATATTAATACCCTTCTAACAGGACTAGTCACAATTCTCCTCAAACAAAGAAGGCCGAAGATAAGAAACAAGATTTAAACAAACACGAAAATAAATATTGTACTTTTAAATGTGCAGAAAAATTCGAGAAGCAAAAGCTTATCATATTTTGTAATCCAAAGCATCCTATCAAGTTTATAGAATTGTTTTTCCATCATGTAAAAAATTATGTCAACATTTTTGTGACTTCTCATGTACATTCCAGTGTACAACATCTTCCAAATTATTTGTTAAATTTTTGTTCAGAATATCGAAATGCAGATCAATCTAATGATATACACTTAACAATAATTTGGAAAGAAATTGGTATTGATCCCATAATGCAATTACCAGGAATGTACGCAATAACAGGCGAGATAAATGTAGCGCGATATCTAAATCGCCTAATCGAAAATTGTTATCCTTATGTTTTACGTTATGAAAGTAAAGATGCATTATATGCTAATGAAATAGATAACTATTTAGAAAAAATACACACTTTTTTACATGCTAATGTATATTACGCTATTCATAAAAAATCACGTTATGTAATGGGTGAAGATATATCCATTGTAGATATTTTGTTAGAATCCCTTGAGAAATGATACGAAAATAAAATTTTATAAAAATATAGACATATATTTTTGAATCTTTTATGTGCTACGTTACTTATAATATTAAATTATTATTATATTAATATATTGTATATGTGATTAATTAAATATTTATTTATATGCTTTTGAATTGATTTATATTGGTACTTAATTAAATAATTTGATAAAAAATATTTGCTTTCATTCTTTAAAAAGTGGTATTCGTGTGGTAAATACGTTTACATGCATTTACATAGATTGTGTATGTACGTATGTATATACACAGGTATCTAATATTTAAATACGCGCGCGGTGAGTCGATATCTCGAAACTCCCGTTGCTCGTATTTCATAATCAAAGTTTTGAGTCGTGCAATCGAAGTTAGTATTTCATTGCTACGACTTGTGATGTAGTTTTGTTTCAAGGTAATTATTTATTCCTTATACATTTCAAGTAATTTTAAGAATAAGAATATAGAATTATTTTAAAAAATAAGACTAGATATTTCTTCTTTTAGTAACGAAGGAGACACAGTAAGAGGATCGTCATAAAAATTCAAAGAACTACACAAATTATAAAAAGAATTCTTTATTATTCTCATTTTCGCACAAGTCCTGCATTGCGAAGTACGTTATATACTTTCTCTCGTGGGATTTTATCCGTTTCACGATCGATTACCTACAATAAAAACAAGAAATACTATTACAAGTACTAACTTACTACTTATAGAGTACACCACATATATGTATATTGTTCTATATATATACGAATTCATAAGGAAATGCGATATGCGAAAGTGGTATTCTCAGATGTCAGAACTAAATCCAATAACCTCGTTCCAAAATCAAACGCTACGCTACGCCTCACGTTTTAGTTTCAGTTTTTCATTTATATTCTCATAATATTGCAGAAGAGACGTTGAAATTAATAGGGAACTTTTTACCTGCGTCTCTTTATTCAAAAGCCATGATTCCTTCGCGAGCCTGGCGGCGATTAGCGGGTTTTTATAAAAGTCATTTCGCAATTCGTTCGGCAGGGTGTCTTCGACTGCTGAGTTCAGTACGTTCGCCGGATGTTGATACAAGAATCCCGAGGGAATGTAATACTGTGGAACAGCCGCGCATAATCCCATCACCATCGCAAACGTGATTATTGTATTCATGTCCACGTAAAATTCTGCAGAAAGAACAAGCTCCAACCAATTTTTAAGGTTTAGTACGTATCTTGTTAAATCCAGCAGAGGAATTAATTTTTTTAATTTAAATCGATATCTATCGAACAAGGAAAAAATTGCACATAGATTTACAGAACCATACGGAGTTTCTATCCAAGTGACAAAAAAATTCGAAAGGAATTCACGATGGCTGAGTCATTATTCCAATTCACGTTTTACAAGCATGTATCTATCCTTTCTACGCTGCTCAAAATTTTAATTATTTTTTGCGTTTGTTACACAAAGGACTATATAATAGTATTTTGGGTTATCTTACTGTCAATGATACCCCTCTTTTTTTACCAAATTCCATCAATAATCTATAAATTCTATTAATAAGTTAATTTTATATAGTAATACTACTGTAGTATAGTGTAAATACTACTGTAAGTATTTATACTGTATTTATACTGTAAGTATAGTAAGTATACTGTAAGTATACTGTAAGTAAGTATTTATACTGTAAATACTACTGTAAGTATTTTACACCAACGGAATCATCCTTTTGTAAAATTTTGAGCAACATGCACTTTGTCTACAATTTTCATCATACACTATGAATGAACTGAACTGCTGATTGTGTGTTTCAGGGACCACATTGAACATCTTTATCCTCCGTATCATCCATTTGCATCCTTTATGCAATTTAATTGGCACTTGTAGTCCACGCACAAATGCACTCACCTGAACGAACACTCGACTTCTGAACTCACAAGATCTAGTTATTACTCTCGCGCGTATCTAACTGAATACAGTATCCGTTTACAGTGTTACTTATATACTTATATAGCAGTTGCCACTTCGATACAAGTTACTAAGGTTACCGTCGACGTTTTTTCTTGATCATTATCCGTATTCTGGCCCATTCTATCGGCCTTATGTCCCCGACGAGGCCATTTGTTCCCTCTTTGAGACATTTCAAGGGTGGAGATCCCTTTGACTCAACTGATCACCACTCGCCGCCGTTTATCCGCGGCCTTCTTGGTTGCTTCTTGGATACGTTTTATTCGCTTTGCCTTGCTCCTCGGTGACAGAGACCCTGATATTAGATGCTGCATACGCGATACATTCTGATAGATTTTTCAAATTGACGTGTTTCAAGCCATTCGATAAATCCAATAAATTCAGCATTATCATCAACTATGTACAGAGAAATTATTATTGCACAATTGAGACGAATTGAGAAGGAATTGTGAACAAGAAAATACAATAGCCGAAAAGATAAGTTTTACAATTCGTGTTATGAATTGTCACACACCAATAAAATACAAAGTGAATCACTTCGTATAATTATTCTGTAACTGTCCTTTCGGTTTTCACTTTGTTCGGAAGAATAATTCAATAGGCATGGTCGATCCAGCAGTTTACGCACGGTGAATTTAGTTAACCGTCGTATTATAAGAACGATCCTTTTGATTCGGATCAATGTGTGTCGTGAGATTTGGTGGGTGTAATGTTCCTACGTGCCTGGAAATATCGATTTCACCATTGTGATCGGAATTTCCATTACTTAACTATACACTCATTATTGCACTTAATAAAGAACACTTAGTAGTAAATTTAACCGATAGCGAGATATCAAAAAAAAAAAAAAAAAATGTTTGAGGTTGAATGATTGAAATATTGAATATTAAACTATTTGTTAAGATCTACAAGTTGTCGAGAGTTTACTAAACTGTTACCATGCCGATCGTTGAGTTTCAACCGCCCACACAGGTTCTTACAGATTTTTTCGAACAGCAAGTTTTCCGGTTTATGCATCACGCGTATCAGTCTCTGTCTCTGTTCAACGATTTGCAAGCTCAACAAGCTACATTATTACGGACTTGTGTATTATTCCAAACTTCGTTGCTTTCTTTCTACAGTTGGCCACGCAACTACACATTTCTCAGTTCAACTTTCAGTTCGATTCTTTCCGACAATTTTTTGATTCTTTGAAATTTCATACATCATACTTTTATAATTATAAATTCATCGATGAAATTCTAATTTCTAATAGATGATGAAATAAAGTAACAACTGAACATTTTCAGATACATATATTTTAAAACTTAAAGCAACACATCGATTGGTATATCACTTACTCTTAAAATGTCCATAACATTGAGAATTCGAGAAAAGGATGATCTTGAGAGAACATGAATTATCTACATCAACTATTCTTATACTAATACACAATTTTTTTACATTCACAAGAGTAACCAAGATATTGGTATGATAAGGAATTCAAGATAATTGAAACATTTAAATCTTTTACTGGATCTACAATCTATAATTAGATAACAGAGGTAAAGAGATATAATTATAATTATAATCATAGCTACATAAAAAATTCATTATTACTAATACATATCCTATTGAATGGATCAAGTAGCCTTTTAACTGCGTCGAAAATTGTATACATCATTATATACAAAATTGTATGCATTAACAACAATGAATATACATCTTCTCTTCGAAATGAAGATATTAAGTAGAGACATTTTGATACATCGATTTAATTTTATTTAAATTACTTATAATAGCCAAGGAAACGGATGTATAATTGTATTTAGGTCAATGTTACGTCCTTGCATGTACCAATTCACCCAGAGGCAGTGGTTACCCTTGTCGGAACTGATTCGCTTATTATAAGAAATTTCTCAGCTTTCTGAATAATGTATATAATTAAATGAGAGATGAAAGGAATGAAAAGAAAATACTACCAGTGAAAGGAAGTTACGCAAGAATACGAGAGACCTTGCACTTCTCTGTATGATAATTAGGATCTTTCGCATAAAAGATGTATGAATTGACTGAAAATATTTGTAGTATTTATTGAGATGCATTGAATGCATTTACATTTAGTGCCTTGTTGTGCAGTTAGTTTTCTACTTCATTGTAAAAGGTATATATTTAATTTAAACTTTTTTTAATATTAATATATATATATACATATAGAATAAAATTTTGAATTCAAAAAGTTATTGGGAACATTATTAATAATTAAAAGTTTAATTTACAAAATATAAAATATTTCAATTTATGTGTAAGTATTTTGTTTATATGTAAAGAATGATATCAATTGTTTTTCGTTTCTCTCAACTTTCATATATTTCAAGTAACAGATTTGGTAAGAAATAAAAGAACCACGTGTTATTTTCATTTTTATACAAACACATTTTGAAATACATATAAAATAGAAATACGAGGTACAAAAATTCCTATTTGTTCACAGGACATAATTCATATAATTTCCTCTACAAAAGCAGTATAAAAGTCTTTCTCAATTTACATTTGCAATTATTTGTATAAGATAAAGTACAAATCATATTGATTATTAACAGTTTTACATCAAACAATAACGATTTAAATATATTACTGATTAAAAGCAATTTTAAATCTTTCGACTTAATTATTCAATGATTTATGTAAGAAATTTATTACGTTATTAAAATATTCAATATTCATCGTATTGTTAACGTTGAATCCTGTTTTAGAGCATCAAGAAATTAGGATCGCAAGATTGTCAAACAATTTAATGATAATACTCATAAGCTGGTGAGATTGTCTTCTGATAAACCGGAACAGCAGCATGGGCAATTGTTGGTGCAAGAGCCTTTCCGACCACTGGTACAGAACTGTGAACCTGAACATGATCAAGACGCGCTGTTTTTATGTAGGTAGGTTCTTGCACGGACACTCTTTCGATCTTGGTCGCAGGTTCCACCACGTTCACTTCCTGAAGAGTTTCAATCGGCCTGCTAACCACGACACGTCGCGTAGAAACGCGTTCGTCAGCTGGTTCTGCTGATTCCGGAGCTGGTGTAGCAGAGATCACACGTCCTCGAATATTTCCAGCGTCTCCGATTGCAGATTGGGAAAGAGGGCGACCAAAACCGACCTATGCGTTTATAAATAAATATATAAATATATATATATATAGATAAATTGATCACCACCAAAGTTTGATGAGTCCATAATATCTGTTAAATTTTGTCCTATTTGTCTTAGAAACCGAAGTAATTAACTTTCATTTCCATTATTTAATTTCAATATATGTCTTTTTCAAATACTTCTTATTCTGATTTCTTTGGTTATGTAGTATTCACAGTAAATTACCTCAGCAACGTTGCCACGAGCAGTGAGCAATTCGAGCAGTCTGTTCTGGTTCTCTTGGTCTGTGTCAGGGGAAGATTTGGGGCTGAGGACAACGTTTGGCGAAGGATCACGTATAATGAGAGGTTCGTCTGATTGTCCACCATTTCTTGTTTGAACTGCAGATACACGATCCTAAAGAATGAAATAAAAATAGTTATTAGTTCTTTGCTACTTCAGATAAAAGAAGAAAAATAATGATTTTTAATCGTACTTGGCTCTGGGCATTGAGTTTGCGGAAGTTAGGATTGTCAATCACGACAGTTTCGTTATCTTCGCTGGATGATGGAGTAGAAGATTCTATTCCACGAGATGGAAGAGATGGAAGAGATGGCAGAGACGGAAGAGATGGCAGAGATGGAAGAGATGGAAGAGATGGAAGAGATGGGAGAGATGGGAGAGATGGTAGCGACGGAGACGCTTGGAAAGATTGCAGCGACGGATATGCTTGAAGATTCGAGAACTGCGATTGCAGAGGTTGAATAACAGCTGGTCCTCTTTGAATCTTGGAAGTGGGTTGATCAAGCTCAACTACCGCTGAGCCAGCTGGACGAACGACCACGCGTTCTTCAATGTCGAAGAATTGTTTCTGGATTGCTGGACGACGTACCTAGTTGAGAAATATTTATTTAACATTTCAAAACGAGATTAGTTCTTTTACGCTTCGATATTTCTTACAGATGAAAGAAAATATTAAAAGGTCTAACGGGAATATAAATTAAGGTGGAAAAATAAAAAGAAACGAGGGAGAGCAAAGAAGAACAACTGGTGAGTGTTGCTCCTCTCAAAAAACGAAACCAATATTTCCAATTAACAATCACCTCAAATTTACGAGTGGAAACAGCTGGCTTTACGACGTCCAATTGTTTTTCCAAAAGAGCAGGCTGAGCCTCAATTTTCGTAACTGGTACATGAGAGACAGTTGGCAGATGTTTGATGTATGGCACAGCAGCCACTGCTGGTACTTGGGCAGCGGTATATCCAATGTGTTCAGTTTCAACTTTAGCAGGGACACTGTATGCAAGGTATCCTTCGGATGGGATATCATTTATGTAAGTTACTCCGGCTGGATTCAAATATGGCATTCTGATAGATACAAATCCACCATATCCACCTTGCAGCAAAGCAGCTGCCATTGTGAAGAGAACTCCGAACTTCATCCTGGGATGATGTGGTAAATATAATCAATCAAATTTGAATCTTTTATTATCGAATTAATTTGTTAAATGCTGCAGATTATTTTCCCTGTTATGGATAAATAACAAATGCTTTGCTTTTAAATTTTTTAACTTCTAAATTATATATCAGATTAAGAAGTTTCTTCCATTTTTCAAACTATGAAAAGATAAATAGAATAAATAGAATAAAGATAGTAGAATAGGATTAGTAATTGAAGTAACATTGTAGAAACATTGTAATTGTAAATTAAGTGTGAAATTGCTAGTAAAGAAGTGTTCTAAAGCTTGTAATCTCGAGAAAGACAAAATTACCTGATGCCGATGTGCGAATCACCGAGGGGGTGCAAGACTCTGTTTCACTTGTGTCAGCAGACGTTGCTTATATGGCCACGTGGTCGTAAAGGGGACCCCTTCTCACAAAATTGTTCTGGTACCCCTCCCATATGAATAAAGACTCAAAGTTGACCCAAACTGGGTCGATCTAGTTTATTTCTCCACGTGTTCAATATTCGAGAAACTTGCTCCCACATAGAAATTGATAGTTATGCATCTCCCTGTCTCTGTGATACAATCGATACAATTTCACTGTTTCGCAATGGCTGTTAAGAGCACCAATTTTTTATAACAATTCATCGTCCTCAATTGTCTTTGTGAAACTTCGACAATATTTCTAAGAATTTTTTTCATAATTATTTGAATTAAACGATGGAAATATAACACAATAGCACAATTAATTTATAATTATACAAAATTTGGTTTTGCGACAATTTGGATTTTTTCATAATTGATAAGAGATGTTAGTGCTCATCGAGTGCCAAGTTAATTATTTAATATACTTTTTAAGTTTCATATTTAATTTATTCCTCAATTATTTCTATCGATAAAAATAAAAAAAATTCTTTTAATTGCTTTTACTTTTTGTAGGAATATGAATCGTTTGATCTTAAAAATTTCTATCTCAGTTTCATTTGAGAGGCTAATTTATTATATAACAGTGAAGATTGATGAATGAAGTGGAGAAATTTTGAATACCAAAGGATCATAGACATTCGAAAGTGAAAACAGAAATTTCAACTGGGTCGATGCGCCTTTAAAATTCGATTGTTATTCATCCCATGTATGTGTAGGCCTGTGTAAAATTCATCACCCACGAAATGTGACGTTAAATTACGCGAATTCCTGTTGAAAAAAAAAAAAAAGAGGAAAGAACATTTCCTCAGCCGGTCATTCGAAATTTTATTATTCCACGTCCGTCACTTTCGATGTAACAAAACGATGGGAATTCGATAATTGAATAATATCACTTTCTTGAAATCTGATATTTTCATAATCAAATTTATCATGCAGAGAATAAAAAATTGGTGCTTGTTTTAAAAGTCATTTCATTTCATCATATAATGATGAGATGAGTTTTCCAAAAATTGATATTTAAAGAATATAGAATTTATCAAAATTTGATCTTAATTTTCAAATTAACTTTATATTAACAAATGAAAATAATCGAAATTTTTTTTTATTTACGTAACTGAAGTTCGCTTGTTATTTGATCGTTTGCCGACTCTACTGTTCTCTTTCTTTCTTTTTTTTTTTTTTTTTTTTTTTTTTTTGGTGAGGGTATCAAGGTAATCTTCTGTTATTTTTTTCTCGACAACGTGCTTATTTTTTATTGATAATTTTAAAGTAAATTACATCACGCTTATATATGTACTTTCTTATAGGACTGTTTTACAAATGAGAAAGAGAACCATTAAAAAACCAGATTGGAATCTAGAAAGATAAAGGCTTTGTTAATTTTTTTCTTGCAGCATTAAGATTGGAATTGTGTAAGTACAAATTCAATATCTTGATAATGATGTTAAAATGAATAATATTAAAAACTTATGATCATATCATTGTGTAATAAATACTTAGATTTCAAATTATCAGATTGATTATAAACTTTGATGATTACCCAGAAGAAGTCTATATTATATTTGTTAATTATTGTTCTATAATTACATGGTACGTAGTAACTTAATTTTGGTGTTATTAAAATATTTATCTCATAATTCTTTATCTCAGACCTTCAATATTTTCAATCGATGACTTATAAAAAGTCTTTCTTCGACAGAGGAGATCTTGGTCCATCAGTTCCATTCTCAATCGATGACTTATAAAAAGTCTTTCTTTAACAGAGGAGATCTTGGTCCATGAGTTCCATTCTCAACTGGTCATTTAAGTATTGCTCAATATCTGTATCAAGGCCGGGCGTGAATCGAAGGAGTGACGAATCACATATTTATTTTTTACCATATATTTTGCTCGTGCTCTCAATTAAAATGAAAACTTTAGTAGCGGAATACTTTAAACCAATAATAATTTACTCGCACAATATCTCATTTCTGCTCATTTATTTAATGACGCTTTAAACTGCACTACATATCTCCTCTTTATATCTAGTGATTGCTTGAAAAATTGCTCTTTTTACAGGTAAAAATCGATGTTTCCAACGAAAAACGTACTGTACGGCTCTTTAAGCTTAATATGTATCGAATCAAGATGAAGAAATAATTACTCGAAACAAGTTATTGGTACATTCCTGTTTTTAGAGAAAAACTTAATGTTTTTCACAATTAATTCAACAAAATTTGGTCAGACATAGATATGAGTTTAATCTTGATTTTATTATAAACTAACTTGGATTTATTCTGTATAATAATAATATATTTTGTATACATTCTAAATAATAATAATCTAACGTGGAGTTTAAAGTTTAAAGTTTTTAGCTTGAAATTATTTGCATAATTTACTTGCGAAATTCGACGCAAGTATTTCGATTTTTGAGATGACAGACAAATTGAAGACTTAAGCAATAATAATAAATCATTTGTACTTGCTGTTACATCAGATTAAGTAGTTGACATGGTAAATACTCAACAGGGAATAAAAGGAAATGACTACGAGGATATATATATATATATATATATACACGTATTTAAAACGAAACCGAGTCAATTTATCTTTCTACGTTATTTATGGCATCGTAAAAAAGTCGAAGTTAGCATCACGTTACTCATGTATGTATATTTCCTTAACTATTTACTCTTTGAAATATATAAGAAATAGTGTCATTAAAAATTTACTATTATAAATTTGCTATTATATTATATATTATAAGAAAGAGTCATTAAAAATTTACTATTATATTTCACTTTACATTTTAAATGAATTTCCCTCAATGCTATGATTATAATTATTTTATAATTATTTCTTTTTAGATTGTAAATAATTTTCTTCGAAACGTGCATTTTGAAATGAGATTTTCAATTTAAATTTCCCGAAAAAGGAGCAAAGGAAAAATTTTACACTGATCATAAGATATATTTTGCATCGTTGCATTTAAATAAGAATATGGATCTGGCTATCACTGGAAAGCACTTATCGAAACAAATGTTATGGCTCTGTTGGAATAAAAATTGTATGTCACACTGGACATACAATTATCGTTATATATATATATGGAGCTCCTCCCTCTTTCTCTCTCTTTCCCTCTCTCTCTCTTTTCGTCCCATTAAACTTCATCAGTGAAACCGAAACTGAAAGTAAAATGTTTACCGAGTATCGCGTACCGAAAACTGGTTGTCCTTCTTTCGTAATATCGTCCTTCTTTCGCAAAAACGTAAGAACAAAAAATCCTTTTTTTCAGATTTTTTTTGATGATTCGATTTTGCCCAATACCTTTTATCATTGCTATCTATCGTTATCAGCTACAGGAAAATTTACAATGCATTCGAATTGTGAAAGTATGGCTTTATTTTAATTCGATTACAATATCTTCGAAATATTTTCGAAATACAAGTTAAACGTAAATTGTTGAATTTGGTTTAAATTCGAGTAATAGAGTAATCGAGTAAATAGAGATAAAATGCACGGTAGTAATTCGAGGAAATTTATATTACATATATTGTGAGTGTTTATATTGTAAGTACATATTGTAAGTGAAATTGAAGGATATGAAAAAAATTTTTTGAGTTATAAAGGTTCGACTGTACAAACACAAGCTGATGATTATCTTTTGATCAAAAAATTTTGTATTCTTTAACAAAGCAAGATGTAGTGATGTTTTGCAAGATCTTGTTAAATCAGTATTAATTGCCACTTTCTTGTTTTATCTTTATAATAGACTTTCTCTTGCTGATAGATTAAATTTTAATCTACTGTTGGGTCATTCTGTATGATTATAATAAATATCTTAACAATTTCCATGTAAATTTTCAGGTTTCTTTTTAAATTGTTTTCAATATAATCATAATGGCCAGGTCTCACTATAATATCAAGGCCAATATTTTGTAATAAACATTTTCCTTAAATCAATTATGTACCAAAAAAATCATTTTATAAATAATCGCAATAAGCATTTGATTAAAGACAGTACATTTCACAGTACATAATTTGAATCGTGCTTCTCGTGTGTAGATGTCACTGTTCACAGGAATATACAGTAAATGGCATAAATACAATTTTCAATCGAAGAAGGCGGTAAACATCAATACGTAAAATCGGTTTTTTTATAAAAATGTTTTTATATAAGAAGAAATAATATTGTAAAAAAATATATTTATCGATTTGTATTTAGATTATTACACATTTGTTATTGTCAGCGGAAAGTTCCAAGAAACGTTTTCAATGTAATAGAAAAACCAGGTTATACAGAGGATTAGAAGACCTCTAAATATTTTTTTTAAAAATGAGCGCAAATGACAATTGTCAATTTATATTGGAACGTATTAACGTTCCAGATATAATTGTACTTGATCAACCAGACCATACGGTGAGCATGAAATGTTTATTATAATAGTCCTGCAAATAGGACTCACATGTCATGGAATCATTTCTGTACTCTATTATTAAATTATTGCTTTTTGATAGTCATTTTTCCAGTAAATTGCAGATATTTGTGCATTTTGTTGTAATACATAGAAATATATAAAATGTTCTAAATATCTAATAAATGAGATAAATCTTTTATTTAGATTTGACTTCTTTAACTATGTTTATAAAGAATATGATATATAAATATTCAAATATCATTCACAAGCAATAAGTATAATTATATTTTTCAGTACACTTGTGGTAGAGCCAAGGAAAACCAAATAGTATGCCTTAGCTTAACAGTATCTAGGCGTCATTGCATTTTTTTCCGTAGTAAAAATGAATTGTATGTTACAGATTTAAAGGTACATATTGTATAATGCAATTAATATACTTTAATATTATAATATTTGTGTTTAGTGGATAATATATTATTTTTAGAGCGCGAATGGCTTATACATAAATGGTATTGCCCAAGAGCCATTTCAAACAACTAAATTACATTCAAATGATATCATTGGCATTGGTTGTCCCACTGTTGTAGACAATAATACATATGCATATAAATTGCGGGCAGTTGGAGTAAGAGTATGATATAATAATTTTTTTAAAGATAGTTATTAAATAAGATTCTTTTATATTGTAATAATTTTAATAGCCTCAACCTGTGGAAAATAGTCACAGTGCCAGTGCACTTTCAGAAACTGTATTAAATAATGAAAATATATGTAATGATAAATCAGCAATCGACGATGTACATAAAAGTACGAAACGTAAAAGAGAAACAAACTCCAGTCTGAATATTTCACCAAGTAAAATTCCCAGATTGGGAAGTGGAAATTGTATCTTAGAAAAGAACTCTTTGGAAGGTAACATCATTTTTATTCAGACTATTTAACATATAAGAAAACAAAAAAGATAATGGAATTATTTTTATAATGCAAATAATTATTCAAATTTCAGAAAAAAATGAAAATGATATTGAAATAATTCATGTTTCACTGAATAATAACTCATCACACAAAGAAACTAAGAGTTGTGATAATTTCACAGAGATAATTGAATTAGATGATAAATTAAATGAGAAAAAACATACAGATGTTGATATACTTAAATCTAGCAATACAACAAACAATATGAGAATCGAGTCTTCAATGGACAATGAAATAATAAATTGTGAAGATCTCGAATTAGATACAGCAATGTTTACCACTAAGAAAAATATCAAAGAAAAAGAAATTTTTCCTACTTGTAAGAAATTGAATACCAATACATTACAGAAGCTTGAAAATGACACAGAAAATAATTTGTTACATACCAAAAATGTACAGAACACAGTAAATAATTCTCACGATATTGAATGTGAAAATACAATGAAAGACAGTAGTATAAGAGTAAAAGCTCATTTAGAAAGTATGAATTGCAACTCAAACTGCAGTACAGAAAATATTAGTGAAACAAATAATGATATGAATGAGATTGAAAACCCAAATACAGTCATTACAGGCACTGTTGAAAATAACAAAGGAGGAAATGTATTACCACTTTCCTCAAATTTTATACGTAATGAGAATGGCATGATAAAATTAGAAGATGAATTGCAATTAACTGATACTGATGAAGATGCTATTTTAAATTCCTTCAGTACAAATTTCATCCCACATATGTCTCCGATAAAATTAAAAAAAGTAAAACAAGAACCAAAAACAAAATTTTCAGAGGACGATGTTGTAAATTTAAGCGATAGTGAGGATGATATTTTTCCGTGTTCTCAATTGTTTGATATTGGCTATGGTGCGAATACGTCCATCAAAAATGAGGTAAAAAAAGAACCTGCAGAAGTAGAAAATGAAAGATTTTGTTTAGTTGATGATGCGGATTTAGTTATTTCACTAACAGATAGCGAAGATGAAGATAATAATTGGTTGCACAGATTATCCCGTAGTCAAATACTTAACGAAAGCGACGAGATTGCTCTTGAAAATAGGGATGACATAAAAGATAAAGATAAAAATATAAATGTAAATGTTGATATTGATGAACTAATTACAAGTGATATTAAATTAATCAACAATAGGAAAGTTATCATAGATGAAGAAAAAGAAATAGGAAAATCTGTGAACAAAGGTGCAAACACATTACAAGGTGTAACAGAATCAGAAGCTGGTACACATATAATGGAAGTCGATTTTGATGATTTACTTGAAAAACACACGATCACTAATATCCGTGCCAAAAATCATTCTGAACTTCCAAAGAATCAGAAAAGAGTGCCGAAAGAAATAGAAAATTTTGCTGATATTTCAAGTAAAAGTAGAGCAGAAATCACTACACTTTCCAAAAGAAAAAAATTAGTTGAAAAAAAAATAGTTCAGATTGACCCTTCACCTTTACCTACTACCAAAAAACGAAGGAATGCTTCTAATAAAGTTAAACAAATTCCTGAAAAATCTGATAAGTCCAAAAAATCTGATAAATCTGAAAAATCTGGTAAGTCCGAAAAATCTTCGAAATCGAAAGAAAAGAAGGAGCAGCAAGAAAAGTCGAAGTTAGAGCAATATTTGCATACGAAAGAGGAAAAAAGTCGTAAAGTACTTGATAAACGGGCTAGTTGTCTTTCTCCTAATAAGAAGAAATTAAGTACTCTTTCAAAGGAGGAGAAAAAGGCATTAGCAGATGATAGAAAGATAAAATTGAAAAAACTTGCGGAGGAAAAGAGACCATCTTTGGAAAGTAACCAAGAAAAAAAACGTATTGTTTCAAAACCAAAAGCGAAAGTAACGACGAAAAGTCGAAATGATTTTCTCGTCGAGGAAACAATTTCTGCATGTAAACAAGGAATTACAATAGAGAAATCTAAAGCTTCGTCTAGTCAATCTGCAACGGCAAATGCAAAAATGACTGATTCAGCAAAACACAAAATTGCTTCCAAAGAAATAGCAACGTATTTACAGCATAAATTAACTCTTAATGATATTTCAAATATAGGAAAAATTCCTAAAAAGTCTAATACTAAGCAAAGAGTAAATACTACAGAAGCAGAAACAGCATTAAAAGATCTTTCATTAGAAAAACAAACAGAAAAGAAAATTGAGTCCGAAAAGAAAGTAAAGAGTAAATCAGGTACAGAATCTTGTAAGCCAATTGAAAAGAAATCTTCTACGCCATTTAAATCAGATTTGAAATTACCGGTTGCAAAATTGAGGAAACGAGTGTCTTTTTCTGCAACAATTCAAACTGTATATGAATATCAAATTGATGAATTAAATGTTCTAAAAAAACTAACAGGAAAAGACGCTCCTATACCTCGAGAAAAGGTGGTTCCTGTGAAAAAGCCTAGTAATACTGCAGAATCTAATGCAAAATGGAACCAATTTTTGTGGCGTATTTTAAACTGGAAACCTGTATGGTTGGAAGAACAGCAATATTTGAATCAAGATCCACCTGTCATTGAACCTCAGGAACTTCATGTGACCTTAACTCATTATAGATCGTATGACGAGTATTATAATATTACAAGTCCACTTTTATTGCTGGAAATTTGGCACGAAATCACTAAAAAATTTCAGAATATAGAACATATTTACAAACGACCCACATTCATGTATTCCATAGTCGAGAACTCTATTCAGACATACACGGCGTCAAATGTATTTCTTACAACATTGATGCTCGAGGTATTAGCCACGAAAGACGATATACGAAGACATATCCATCCTATGTATGGGGATCTTGTATTTTTTGAGTATGTTGAAAATCATGAGAACTCACAAAAATCAAAAAAATTTCATAAGATATTCGCATATGTTACCAATGTATATACAACAGAATTAACGCCGTTGACGCGTTTTAATAAAGATTTACAAAATTATGTAAAAAATGCTCATTCATTGTTAACTTATACTGTGATAACAAAAGGTCTCGATAAAAACATTCTAGTGAATAGAGTTCAGCGATTAAGAGCTGTGATCTATTTACGTAGCAATTTACGAATGGTACAAGCACTGCAGTTTCTTCCTAAATCGCCATTGGCAGATCTAATCTTAAATCCAAGACTCGAGATGTATAAGTTGCCAGTTGTATCTGAATTTGAGACATTGATTACTGGAGATAAATTGAATGAGAAACAGATGGAAGCTGTACATAAAATAACCAAAGCAGTAATTCAAAGGGATACCAAATTGTGTTTTATTCAGGGACCACCTGGTACTGGTAAATCAAAAGTTATTGTGAATATAGTTTCTCAAATATTGTATGGAAATAACAGATATACAAATAGTGGAAATTCCTTGAAGATATTGGTATGTGCTCCATCGAATGCTGCCGTTGATGAAATCGTCCTTAGACTGTTAAACATCAGGACCATAATAAAAGAGAACTCAAAAACAAAGCCATTTAAAATGGTTCGTATTGGACAATCAGAAATGATGCATCCAAAAGTAAAAAATATTTCTGTTACTGAATTAGCAAAACGGGAGATTAAAAAAAACAGTTCGAACACTGTTTGTTCTGATAGTACAGAAAATGAAAAATTATTTATACAATCTAAAATGAACGCCATTCAATGTGAGCTGAACAATTCTTCTAACTTAGATGAAGCTTATAAAGAGCATCTCAGGATGAAGTTGGCAGATTTGGCTGTGAAAGAGGAATTACTAAAGAGTCGTATATCATTAAATGACGCAAATAAACAGAACATTAAATTACAGCGCGAAATGGAATACAAAATTCTTGATTTCGCAGACATAATAACTTGCACTCTCTCATCCTGTTATGTTGGTCAAATGGAGTCTATTTTTGGTATCAATAAGAAAAGGATATCTGTGTGCATCGTGGATGAAGCTACCCAAAGTTGTGAGGCAGAAACCTTGATACCATTGATGTTAGGAATTAATATATTGATTTTAGTTGGTGATTCTAATCAATTACCTGCTACTATTTTGAGTACGCAGGCAAAGAAATATGGATTAGATCAGTCTATTTTTTCCCGTGTGCAAAATGCCTTTGATTTGGAACAGAATAATCCTATAATCATGTTGGATACTCAATATCGAATGCAACATGATATTTCATCTTGGCCAAATAAATTCTTTTATGGCGGTAAAATAAAAGATGCTGTAGAATACAGTGATAAATTTCCATTTTATCCATATCGAATTTTAAATTTGTACACGAATCAGAATGATGATAACTCGAATGATGAAGAAGCGGATTTCATAGCCAATATTTTTTATTGTATGCTAAACTTTGCCAATTTGGATAATTGGGAATCTGGCATTTCGTATGGTATTCTTACGCCGTATAATAATCAAAAATCTATAATACAGACAAAAACTAATCAAATGTAAGCTTTTAATGTGAGTATATTCTGAGTATTTGGATTGTTCATTATATGTTCATTTTGATTGTTTTAGATTATTTTCATTGCCAAACAATGTTAGGAAAAAAGTAAGACTCGAAGTGAATACTGTAGATAGTTTTCAAGGTCAAGAATGTGATGTGATAATTATATCGTGCGTAAGAAGTCACAAAATTGGTTTTTTATCAGATAGGCAAAGACTTTGTGTTGCACTTACAAGAGCAAAACAGAGTCTGATAATATGTGGTAACTTTAACGCCTTCATGGTAAGTTTTTATATAATATTATCTATATTTACATTACACATGTATTTCAAAATTTTCTCGCAAAAGCGAAAAATTATTTAGAAGCTTACAAAAAAAGTAATTTAGTAAATATATTTAGTAAATACATAATGCTGATACATAAGAATAAATTCTGGATTCCATAAAATCCTTCGATAGTTTTAATTTTTTTTTCTTTAACACCAGATTAAATTATTTTAAATTGTGACACTTTTGAAATACATATAAGATAATAAAATACATAATATATAATATACTTAATACTACGTAATAAAAATATAGTAATATGTATTACAAAATATATGAGTATATTATAATATAATATAAAATAATTTTCTTTTATTAATTACAGAAGTATCCAATGTGGAATTCATTAATAGCTGATGCAAAATCGCGCAAAGTATTTTTTAATGTTAAACCTAACGCGAATTCTCATGAAATCCAATCATATATTATTAAGCCTATGACAAAGAAATGATTGTTTACACAGATAATCTTATTGTTAATAGTCTTGTACATTTGTATAAATCTTGTCATTATCGTTATCATCCTTACGTGTCTCTAAGTGCTATAGATTTATATTTCGTTTTCTACGATATTGCCTTTGCAAATAATAAATTTTTTTAAATTAACTATAATGCTCTGAATAGAATAAAATGAAAGGAAAAAAATACCCATTAAGTTTCATTAAAAAGTATTTACGTGTGCAGAAAGTGTGAAGGTTAGAGTTAGGTCTATTGAATTTAACCTTTCCAAACATTGCTAAAATTATTATTTTCTAATTCCTTTTTAGAATATCATTACGTTTATAGTAATGATATCCTAATTATAAATTAAAAAATAATAATCATGTGGTTTCGTTGTATGAGACTATTATTTTTTATATATTATACTGAATAATAATTTGGAATAATATTGTATAAAAATAAACCAAACTATAATTTTAATCATTTTAAGTATATAACATAGATATATCTTTTTATGTATTTATGTTAAGACTCTGCGAAATAACTGATCCTTTTTTTTTTTTTTTTTTTTTTTTTTTAAGAAAATTAATTTTATGTACACATTCATTATATAGTGCTTTTCTATTAAGGTGTTATTAGTTACTTATTTGTGATTTTAATGTCATTGTATAAATAATTTATTGTCAGTTTGTGTAAATAATGTAATGTCAATTTGTATAAGTAATTTATTATATAAATTGCATAAATACATATATTATTTTCATTGATTTGAGTGATACATAATTACATATATTATTTTCATTGAAATTCGAATTATATATATATATTTTTTTTAATGAGTATAAACCTTAATTTTAAGTATACATGTATATATTAACCTTTTAGAATAATTCACATGTATTAACCACACAGTAGAGTTCGAGTCATCTTTTCGTAAGTATTTATCATATAATATTTCATATGGAGAAGGAAAGTAAATTATTGTTAAATAATTCAATTAAAACATTTCAGTATGAGTCAAGTTAAAAGCCTTTAGTGTTTAATACTGGGAGCCTGCGTAAGGACTGTGAAAACTGTGGTTATTTATGTAATTTCATATTTTGAGAAATATTGAATTTGAAACAAAGCTTGTTTCATTTAATAAATATTGAATATTTTATATATTTTTGCATATTATCGTATTTTCCGTAGTTTTGCAAGAACTATTTTGAAATAGCAAGAATAGGAGGTGTAAACATATTAATCTTCTAGTATATTTTATTATTTTTATAGCATTTACAAATTTCATTTAGTCAGGATGGTTCGTTTTCAAAATATGACACCGCAAGAATATAAAGAGAAGTATGAAAATTTCAAGATAAATTATGGTATTCATCCTACACCTTTTGGAGATTGCATAATTGGTATTACTAGCACTGATAAAGCAATCGTACACTTGGCGTTTGTTCCTAAGAATGAGACAGAAGCTTTGACTGAATTAAAGAACAATTGGCCTCTTTCCAAAATAGTAAAAGATACTTCAAATGAAACAACTGAAATTTTAGAGAAAATCTTCTCCAAATGTGCATCTGTAGATGATTCTATTTTGGTCCTTATGAAAGGTACAGAGTTTCAAATAAAAGTTTGGAAAGCTTTGATGCTAATTCCACGTGGTACAACTGTTACTTACGAAGAAATTGCACGTAGTATAAATAAACCAAAAGCAGTTCGAGCTGTTGGAAATGCATTAATGAGAAATAATATTGTTTATTTGGTGCCATGCCATCGTGTAGTAGGCAAATCTGGTAGTAATAAATATAAATGGGGAACAAAATGTAAAGAAAATTTTCTAATGCATGAATGTGAATATGCAAACATTTAAGTTTATTTTTTAGATGCTTACATATATTTATTTTTTTAAATAATTCGTAGCCCTCTATATAAATAAATAGTTAAGTACTAATTTTTAGTTTTATAAATCATATTATATCAAGTTCTGTTACTTACAAAATATTTATTTCATAATAGAAATATACAAACTTATCGAAAATTCCTTAGTATTTGTATACAATTAAAATAGACACTTGATAATATAAAAAGAAAAATTATTCATTTTTCTACATTAAGGAGTGGATATTATACAAATTAATTGACTAATCGTGTATAATACTGCCAAAAAAAGCAATTATTTTTTGAGAAAAAATTATTTTTGTCATCCTTAATATACAAATATGTAATATAAAATATATACATTTAAAAAATATTTAATATTTAAACCATCAAGTAACTATATAGGTGAAAATTTCTATTGCTAAGTTAAAATTATATCATAAATTTCATTGCACTCTTGCATATTGTAACAGGAACACTATGACATTAGGATGATCTTCAGCATTCATAATAATTAATACATAAATTAAAGATAAATAGAATCATTTAATTTTATATTTGCATTTAAATAGTTATCAATGTAATTGTTTTGTATAAAAATGTTGCATTTTTTGTATTAACTTTAATACCTTATAATTGACGTCATATTAATTTGCAAAATATGAATTTGCTCGATTGGCGATACATAAAATATTAATCACTATAGTACTAATAAATTAATGTAATTTTTTTAATATGCAAGCCTTTCAGATGTCTAAAAAATACACATTACAAATGCTGAAGTTAAAAAGTAATTGTTAATGTTAAAGAACTGGCAATGGATGAATTAATTTGGCATCTGATGGACTTATTATTTAAGTTTATACACAGTATGACTGGAGAAATATTATCTACATTGTAAATATTACTGTATCATCGATTCTATACATTAATAGATAAGATATAAGTTTATAAATACATATTTATATACATTTACAATATAAATATAAAAATGAATTATATGTATAAAAGCATTTTATAAAAGTGTAAACCACTTCACACAGTTCTCGCTCATAAAAATCCTACTTTAGATACAAGTATGACACTTGTTTATGTTAATCGTAAAAATCATGTTAAATTTAATTTAATAATTATATTTAAAAAATCGTAGAATTCATTGACGCTTATATAAAATTCTTTTTCGGAAATAATCAGAGAGAACAGGCTGCATTATACCCTAAGATTGATTATCTTGTATATTGCTTTAAGTTTTTAATTATCATCGAAGTAAATTTTCATATTATATATTATACGTTGTACATACAAGAAAAGAAATAATGTTAGTTTCTTTTTTAAGTACAAATTTGAAAAATATATATATTTTGTTATTGGTGAATCATTCTGTACAGTTATTAATCAGTCTCATTAATTTCATTTACATGATTACTGAAAAATGTATTAAATTCAGAAAATATTGTATGAGAATTTCTTTGGATTTTCCTAACAAGACATAGAGTTTACTATTTGTATCTTACAAGGCAGTGTTTGGTGGAGAAATGTAACAAAGATCTATGTATCTACAAAAATATTTGTTGAAGGCATTTTCAAATGCAAAGTAAACTTTAATGATGTGTAATAAGGGAACACACTATTAAAGAGAAATATCAATAACATGATACTAATATAATTGCCCATTATTAAGTATTCAATATCCATAAAGTATTTATATACTTTTTGTTCCCTTTGTTCCCTGATCATTTAGTAGTGCATAGATACTGTTTCAAATATACTTCATGTATAATATTTGCTTTCTTGAATTTTTAGCTTTATCTTGACAGAATTGAACAAAAACTTTTATGACTTTCTTTCATGATAGTAAGATTTTTTTGTTCTACGTTTCATTCATTAGTTCATTGGTCATTATTAATGACGTTGTTAGTTAAACATACATGTAAATGTTTCGAGAAAATGTAATTATCATTGTAAATATAACAAAAGGATAAGATACAGTGGCTTTGCATGCAGCAAATGATGGGATATTGTTTCCTGATATGTTGGTTGTACCTGTTATTGTGACAAAATAATTAATATCGTAAAATATCGTAAAATCTATAAAGTATAATGTTGTTAATCAATATTCATAATATTATTTTTACCTGATACTCTCGACCGTGGAGTCGTAGTGATTCTCATTATCGGATTGTGAGGGATTGGCTTCATTGGCGTTGGAGCAGGACTTGGAGAATTTCCATAACACTGACCTGATCACATTTGGCCATTAAACATACAATTTTGACATTAAATATTAACTTAACTTTTGATTTCATTAGATCCCAGTTTAAAAACCTACCCTTCTTATACAACCGCATTCCTTCTTTCTTAGGATCAATATTTCTCATACAATGATCTCCCGCTTCTTTGATATAGATTTCTTCGTCATTTACGATTAAGCCAACGAAACATTCGTTCGTACTTGTATCATTTCTCATAGTATACGCATACATGACACCTTTCTCTTCCCATTGTCCCAGACACAAATATGTTCGTTCTGAAATATAAATTCTCTTTTTGAGTTTCAGTTTTAATTATTTAAATTATTTAAATTATTTAAGTTAATTTCAATTATTTAAGTTATTTAAATACCTTCATAGAGCTCTCCGGATTCGCAGTCAGTAACTTTGAAATACATTATTTCGCGGGTGTTGCAGTTGCTGCTTAATTCAGCACACATTCCTGATAAGTCAGTTATCATACCCATGTACTGTCCAGTAATTGGGCAAGGTGATTCTACCACACGTTCAACACCTAATTTTAAAATCATCTGATTTAATGTTATCATCTTTCGTTGAAATGGCTATTAAGTATTTACGTCTTTCCTTCCTTGAAATTAACTTACGTGCTTGTGTCATCCAAACTGGTTTGTCTAAATTAACATCATCGCATAGATAAGATTGATAAGTTGGATTTAATACCATTCCTGTACAAAAAATTCATCATTTAACAGACTGAATAATTCAATTAATATTCGTGGACGACCGAAATAATGATCAAAAAGTAAATACCTATTGCAAATTCTAATACATTTTCACTTCGTTGCCTCATCATTAAACATACGTAAGCCACTTGTTCACTAAAAATATTTTTTGTTATTTTAAATATGAACATAAAGCATTTTTATATCTAGTGTCTCTTATCTTACCATTGATTTTTGGAGTAAACGATGTAACGACCAGTTTCTTCATTCGAATCAACGGTAATGAACGTATAGCTGTTATAACCATTGAGATCAGTGAAAGTCATAGTGCCATTGACAATCAAAGACTCTTCCCACACACCCTGCGCCCATTTTGGGAATCTGAAGGTCAAAAATAGATTTTGATTAATTGAATAATCTGATAGAAAGTCATTGCAAAATTGTAAGGCCAGTAGTATTCAATTAGAAGATACATTAACAAGAAGAAAAATATACTAACGTTGCTACATGAGTCTTCACATAATTTGGCATCTTCTTTTGATTTGGAACTTTACTAAGAACTAACGTTTCGTATCCACTAGTGGAATTATCCAAATTTTGTGTACAGCTCGAATCGCTGCTCAGTGCCATGTACATCTTTCCTTTTTTATTGTCAACGTGAAATAGCTAAAAATAAATCCTTTAATTAAAGAAATGTACAACAAATTTTAAGTAAAGAAATAAGGAAATAAAATACTGTATCTAATACTTATTTACCCCACATCTGTATTGTGGTCGACCTTCACAGTTTGCACTGATATCCATCAGAGCAAAGTAGGTAGAACCATTGGGACCAGGCCAGTTGCCTAAGCAATTAAATGTAAGATTCACTGAAACAGACGTAACAATATCTTAGTTCTCCTTATTTATATACCTAAGAAGGGAATTAAAAAGAAGAGAATTACCGTGAGGCTCAAAGTTACAACGATTGAAATGTAATCTCAAGACAGAGCCATCGGGACAGTTGTGGAAAGAAGACGAGAAGCTATTGCACTCGATAGCTCTACCAGATCCATTATTAAGACTGTACGTGAAGTGATACTGGCCAGTTATTGGACAGTACTCGTTTCTTATGGGAACATTGCCAATCTCCCTGGTACCTGTGCAAACACAATTCAACCAGTTAGATAAGAACGTTTTTAAATGTAAATATTTTTGGAACTAGTTGCTTCACATACGGTATAAAATCGATGTGGAATTTAATGTGTCGCAGGAGGCCAAAGCAGTGGCTTCTGAAGTGTAACACCTGTTCAAGTCTTTAGAGAACACTTCTATAACGTTGCGGGATCTCCTTAATAATCGGAAGCATCGGATGCAGTCGCCATCGCCGTACCTGAAATGCACACACGTGAGTTGACCTCGTTCAATTTTTATTCATTCTGTTCAACGAAGGAGTGAAA